TCGATTTTCTTTCTACGCTTATTTTATGATTCACAAGCTTTCCAACAATAGAGAAAAAGAATGTCTCTTTATAAAGATATGCATTTCATTTCTCAATCTACTTCCGAAAAATGGGATTATATCATATCGATTTTTATACATACATACCTTGCAATGATTGCAGGTAACATTTTAATGTTAGAATTTAAAAAATCATAAATCTGGGCGAGTACAATAGACCTTAGCACTTGGCTTGGGCTGCCCGTGTATAAAAAATGCAATGCAGTCTCTTCGACTTGACGTATTATTAGATTAAATTAAACTCCTCGTAATCGTATGAATAAAAAAGCGATGCATGGGATTTTAAATCTGTCCCTGAAGAATGAAGTTAAAAAAAATATAGTCATTTATTTATTTATTGTCTACATATGTTATGTAAATAAATTTCCAGAGTATGGATTTAAAGGCCGGATAACTTAGATCATACGTTCGTCTATATTCAAAACTCTACTGCATTTGAGATTTGAGGTCATGTATATATGTACATATATATATATATATATATATGTATATATATATATCTATTTATACATATCTATAGTCGCCGAGCTTAAGAATGCCATTCCCGCCATAGCTTGAATGTTCTTATTCCCTTTTAGGGCCTTTAAAACAGCTTGCCTGTCGAAGTAAATGCAGATATGCTATATTTTGCATTGCTTTCTACAGCATTCGAGGACGTACTCAGAAATTGCATAGATTTCTGCTTGAAATATAAGAGGAGTATGTCTGCTTGGTATGGGCCATGGAAATTTCGGATCGTAAATGTCAACCCCAATTTCGCTATTTTTCATTTGTGCGCAATCAGTGCACTATTTTAGTTCGACTTAGAGAGAAGAGAATACTCCTCGTTAAAGGTAACTCCTAACTGTCGTAATAGATACCGTCATCCCTTCTAACTCAGCCGTGATGATCGTAGAGTTCAACATACCGATCACTCATTTGATAATTTTGAATAACAGCAATAATTTGCAACTGGGTCCTAACCTTCCACCTGAAAGTCAAAGTGATCAAAATTGCCAATGAAAATAAATTTTTTTGCAATACAAAATGCATTGATCTTTCTTTATTTATCTCCAAGTCGATAAAACAACATCAAGAGTGTATTAACTAAACCTTTTGCATCAAAAGCTTGTGAAAAAATGATTTGAAAGACGAGATTTTACTTAGCGAAGAAATGAATCATTTTCCATTAAGACGGTATACTGACTTATTCTGGCACTGCTTTCATTATAGCAATAACAGAGTTGTTGCAATAAATGAAAAGTTTGATTTTCGACATGAATGAATATCATATTCGCAAGATGTCTTACTAACTGATTTTTAGTGCGTAACTAAAATTTGAACTCTATGAATATTCTATAAATTCTTTCCATAGATTCTGAGCCCTTTGTATCCCTTACATTTTTGTTTATTAAAATATATTTTGAATTATATGTTTCGTATTATAATTAATTTGTTTTTTTCTTTCTTGTTTATTATTCTAGTTTCTAGCATCTAGTTTTTGAATTTTATTTAATTTTTAATAATTTTTTGCTTTTATTTTTTTTTCCAATAATGAGTCGCACAAAGAATTTAATAAATCGCATAGTTTATTGAATTTTTCTCAAGTTTATGTAGAAAGAGAACCTAAAATAAAGTTAATCAACTCTGATATTTAATCAAATACTTAAACAATATCTCCTCTCATGCAATGGTATACTGATCTAATTCTTTTTAATGACAACGTATTGACACAAAGTATTTACGCAAAAATAAAAAAAAAAGGAAAGGAAGAACATTTGACGACATATAAAACTTTTTACATAAATTCTTTTATGAAAAAATAAATGGAAATGAAATACAACAAGTAAGGAAATCATATTTGGTTCGGGCAGAATCATGTACACCCATCACCATTCATTTTATCATACGAATGCCAATTGTGTGTACCCTACCTCCTCATGCTGCGGTAGCAAGGTATTATTACTTTATCACTATGAAAGAGTTTTAGAAGAGAGTAGTTTTATGTGAGTTACTAACAGATTTTATTTAGAATAAATAAAACTTTATGAGAATGTCCTCGACTTCTTTCATTTTTGAATATTAATGGCAAAAAATTTGCAAAATTTCAGCCTTCTATCTTTCATAATTTAAGAGTAATGATCAAAACTCCACCTATTTTTGCTTAGAAAAACCGAAATGGTTTTGATTTTCCCTTTACTGTAAGCATGTCCTTTGACTGGCTCAGTTCATTTTCAATGTCAACTTGCATTTAGCAACTGCCCATGTTTCTGCCAAATTTGAGGTCGATATTATAGCTTTCGCGACCACTCGTATAGACACATTGGCACACAAAAGCGGATAAGTCTTAGTTGCGAATATTCATTTCACTTTAGTTAAAAAATTTATTTCTTTAAAAAAATGTTATGATGCAAAAGTCTTAAAAAAATTGACTGATTACATTTTATCAAGATTTTGTTCAATTCTTTTACTCATTGATTAACATTAATCGTGACCTCTTAGCTTGAATTAAATCAGCAATGAGTAGGAGGTGGAATAATGAAATTTTAGTTTTGCGCAAGCGTGGGCAACCACCGGTCTGCTATGGTTAAAATTTCGAATAATTCAATCTGTTCGCACAAAACAGTGCTCCAAATGGATTGTATCTGCTTTCATTATCGGCTCAGCGGTGTAGCTATCAATTGTGAAATGTGTTTTTTTTTTTTTTTTTTATCAGGCTATAAAATGAACTATTTAAAAATAGGTGAAAATTGATGCAGACTGACATGCTTTTAATAATAGTTGGATGTTGCTCTGACCCTCGCCAAGATATGAAGATTAAAATTGGCCCGTTGATGAAAAAAGTTGACGCACCTTGGTATTATTCTTGATATATTCTTTTGGTATAGAGTGCATCTTTTTTGTAAATTTATGCAACGTTTTCGTTTTTTCTTCTTTTTTTTTTTGAAAATTGCATTGAAAATACGTGCAATTTTCGTACATTCTTCCGTAAGTAATTTCTTCAAATGTGCAGCCTTCTAATTGTTCGAATTAATTAGTTCTATATGCCCTAAATTACTTAGAAGAGCACTTCTTACTCTGAGAGCTATGAAGCTCCCTTCTCTTAATATGTTTCTATCCATATTGAGACACGAGAAAATGACTTGATATTTCTATGGATGCGAACTTTTTCTCACAAGACATCTGAACCATTTTTCTTCAAAGCGGTTAGTTTAACTTAGCTTAATTAATGGTGCATAGAAACTATGTCTATGCATATGTTTATATATATCCATCTCTATGCCAGTTTATTCATTAGAAGGCAGTAGAATGCTTTTGGTAAATATTCTAAAGACTTTTTGCATTTGTTTTGACTCCAATTAAAATCTCACCTGTCATCCAAGCTCAATTTTTAAAGTTACTAAAATTTTCCTATTAATTCAAGTACATGTAAGATAATTTCTTAAGAATAGCGTATTCAAGTGAATTCATGAATTTACAAGTCAGCTCTCTTCAGTTTCTTCCATCGTCCATTTCTTTAAATACATAATATTGTTTGTAGCAACATTCATATACATCTCCAAAAATTTAAATGCATTTAAGGATTTTCACTGATTGACAAATCAAAATGAACGAATAGTTTTTTTTAAATTTTTGAAATGTAAATGTTGTTCATATTGTAATCTCAGTGGCGTGCATATATACATTTTTCATACCTTTTTGGACATTTACAGATCATTGCCCCAATTTTTTAGTATCTACGTATATATGGAGAACTCTTATATACAAGTACTTCAAGAGACACTTTAAAAAAAACTTAAAAGCTTTAATCTCCCGCATTATCTGCATAAGTAGTAAAAGTCGTTAATTTCACTTTTTATATTGATGCGTGAAATATATGTATTTTTCTGCGACAAGTAGATCCAAGAAATTACAAAGATAGTAAATCAGCTCAAGATTTTGAGCTCATTTCAATCATGACCTTATGTCTATGTGCCTTACAAAATTCCGAGTTAATAAAAGGTTACGTACTATTGACTGTGAGCCCATTGCAAGTGCTTATGAAGCAGAAATTGACCCAAATATCGGTATAAAAATGTACTGTAGCCATTCAAGATTTCCTAACAAAATGTGAACTTCATCAGCCCAAACAAAAACACCTCTAAAAAAAAAAGTAAGAGACAAATCTATAATATTTGCTACGAATGTGCGAAAAGCTCATTGTCAAAATTTTCATGATCGCTTAGGTGGTGTACTTGCGATAAATAATTATCACAAACGATTTTAGGGCAGTGGGTATCAAAAATCTATCATATCTTTTTTGTAAATCTTTAACATACAGTTTTTGATAATTACTTATCGTTGACATCTTACAAATTTTTTTTTCTATATTCTACTCTGCTGTCACTTAAGAAATTTTACTTATCAAATTTTGTTTTGAGCTGTCACTTGACAACTTTATCCTTAGAAATTTAAAAAAAAAAAGTTACAAAATCAAATATCATTAGAAAAAAAAAGTTTTTTTTTTTTTCAATTTTATCAGCATATCTAGCTTTGTGAAGTGCGAAGCCTTTCATTAAACTGCGTATATTCATGTATGCAATGAGAACGGCATGATCTATTAAAGCACATTTTCATTTGCATGTAGTTTCAATGAAGTTTCATTGATATTGCGAAATTTTCTTTCCATAAAAAGTTTATTTCATGTTCAATATAGAGCGGTTTGATATTTCTTGTTTCTTTTTTTTTTACTAGCATTTATTAATTCCACGATTTTTCGCTGACTAATCCCGATAATATTCAAACGAATTCCTTCATTACATACATTGTGTGTTTGCATTGTATGATAATCATTAAAAAAAAAAAACAAAGAAAAAGAAAATAAAATTTATATTTTCTTTTGTCTACAAGAAATCTTTTAAAATCTTCTCGTAAAACTTGATATCTACAATTTTTCCATTTATTTTTTTCTTCCTTTATAGGAACAATACACAGATATCAGCAACGTGACACAGGAAAATATCAAATTAATTTAGGTAAACAATATACATTTTTATAAAAAAACTTTTATTAAAAATAAAGATTTTTAATTTTTTTTTTTTTTTTGCAACATTTGAAAACCAACAAAATCTCACTCTAACTGACGAAATTTCCTTCCTTCGGATCATCTAACTGTGTCAGAATTTTTCAAAAACGACTTAGTAAAGCTAATAGAAGTCATGCTTTCCTGCTGCTCAAATTATACTTCCCACAATCCAAATATTGTATTCATTCTTTGTTCCACAAAAAAGAATATTCGACTTCGATTGAATTTTTTTTTTATACGAATCACTTGCCTCTGTTGAAATGAGAAAAGTTTCCATTAGATATATTAGAGTTCGTTATGAAGGGAAAGTCAAGCCATATATATATCTATTTGCATTGCTATACGATAATCAATTGGTGCCTACATGGCCTTACCTTATAGATTTTTATACAAGGTAAAGACCAAAATAAAAAGATTTTTTGCTAAACAAAAAACATCCTCCATTTTAGTTACGGCAACGGATTGTGCTTAGTTGCTTTAAGCTCACTTAGACATTAATTAACAATCCGTTACAATCATTTTTTTGATTTACTTATATATCGTTTTTTTATAATTTTATTAAAACCTTGGGCCAATTTTGCTAATTATTGAGGCTAACAAAAAGATTTAACTTTAACGTTAAAATATTGAAAACAGTGCCAAACATTAGTAGTAGTCTAAAAGGGGAAGGTAGTAGTGTGTTCTTAATTTCTGATCACTGACGAGGGCAATAAGAAACAAGAAATAACTTTTATTCTATCTGAAACGAATTTTTTTTGATTTCCTTCGTAAGATTGTGTATCACATTTGAACCCAATTGAGAGTTAAAATTCATTTCCTCCGATCGATGCAGTTGTCATAAATCGAAAGGTGTACCTAGCATATACTGGACATATCAAATAATACTCTTTTATACAATATGATACCATTTTTTAACGTAAAGTTGCTATATAGTGCGTACCTTATATTTTAATCTTTGCTAAAAAATGGCTTTGTTTGGACTATCTTCACATCGATTTATATCCTTGCTAAAGTACATGTGAAGGAATCGTGAAAGCGATCCGATCCGAACCATTTTTAAGAGCGTCCTTGGGCAAGAATACGTCAGTGTATCAAATTTCATCAAAATATCTCAACAATTGAAGCCGGGAGGTTGAACACAAGAAAACAAGCCAAATAGTCGGACAGATAAGCTTAAACTGACTCAGAACAAGATTCTGAATTGATCTGTATAATAAAAGATGTGTCAGTCCCAAGTCGTTCCGGATGTTGCATATATATGAAAAAATAATGAGAAGATGATGTGAGACCAAGATTTTAAGTTCATCATCTCTAATGATTTCGACGAATGGGCAAATAAGCAAATGGACATAGACGGCTAAATGCATTTTCTATTTCCTGTTACCAAGAATATATATAACTTATGAGATCTTCGATATGACAAGTCTGAAACGACTAACATACTGAGTATAAAAATTTGATTCGAATGGTGATCTTATAGGCAAAGCTTTAAGCCCGCAAAACGTGATTTAAAAAAATAATCAAATCAATAAACAGATTCAATTAAGTTATTTTGGTAGATATTTGAGAACTAGAAGGATTGGAAATAATCTCGATATTTATAACAATTGAGCATTTTGAGAAATTTATAGAAATTTTACACACAATATCGACTTTTACTTCCACTCAATTTATTTTTTTATTACAGCCCAGCAGCTATATTTTTAAACGCTACACGACGAGGTATAAGGATAAATTAAGTTTGAGAGGATGAATTCAACATCCAGAACGACTTGAAATAGATCCACCTTTTATTATCTCGATCGATTTTATTTTCTTCTATGCGAAATCATTTTCTGAATCGATCTAAGCTTGTCCGCCTGTTTATCTGATTTGTTTGCGTTTCTCCTACAGTTTGCAATTTTTGAGAAATTTTGATGGAATTTTTTACACTGATGTATTTTAGCCAAGGGACGAACGCTATTAGTAGTTGGATCGGACTACTTTTTCGGCCTATGTAACGCTTTATTTCGAAAACTTGTGTTTAATTTTAGTGGAATGATGTAGGGTATCTAAAGATGAACCTTCACTCACTAATTGCTATTTGAATCATTCTACCAATAAATGGTTATATGGGCGCTAAAATACCGTTCTATAGCAAGAGTGTAAATAAATATAAATAGATTATGATGCCAGTAGTACGTAGATCATAGTTTCATAAACTTAATGGCACGGCTAATATAATCCTACAAAGCTGGTGTATATATGAAAATTTATAAAATTGACAAGTTAATAAAAAAAGAGAGTACAATTATTTATTACTATACTCTTAAAAGCAAGCACTGAACAATAGTTATTATGTCTACCGACAACCGGCAGGGAAACTGTTATACAAAAATGTCGCAAACTATTTTCAAAAGTTTGAAAAAAAACCTTTCACTTGTTATTTATTATTTTGTCACCATCATCATCCTACGTCGTCATAACACGCATTGGAACGTTTTAATTAGATTTGTACTCATTTATATACTCATCATATGATGATAATGGTAACGGATATGAAAGACTAACTATGCTAGATCGTTAATCTCGAAACTAACGACCAATGTATCAATTAGAAGAAGACAAATCAAGTCTTTGTTATATTCGATATAATTTCAGAATACACGCATACGCATGTACATATGTATATTTTAATGTACATATTGAAATGTATATATACTTGTTATATAGAGAGGAAATAAATAGTAAGGGAAACATTAGATAAAATTTTTCAGTTAATTTCGTTTTGTCTACGACAGAAAATGGCAATAAATTATATAAAATGATTATTTACATAAAAGAAACAAAAAATTACATAAAGTATTTTATAACTAAGTCGCACAATAGATTACATATGTTTTACATATATATATATATATAAAATGTTTTTTTTTTTATCTCTTTATTATTATAGTAGCCATTTAAATTCTCAACAATCACTTAATCCATATGATATGACGATAAACGGAACTTTTGTAATAAGTTCCGTCTGTTTTGATCATTGTCAGCAATGTTTAGTTTTCTAAACAAACTCTCAACAAGGTCTGCTATGTATTCACGTAGGTAGTCACCCATTCTTATGAGTTTTTTTTTTTTTTTTGTTTTTCATTACATTTATACTCACAACAATATTTTTGTTTAATATGAAAACTGAAGAGGTTCACAATAGAAAATTTCTCTTTTTTTATGTTAATTAGCATTCACATTGATATTTAATAATAAATATTATTGTGGTCTTGAATGCTAATTTAGTTGAATTATAGTTATTTGCTTTATTGACAATATTTTCATAAAATTAACTCTAGGTTAAGATTTATGAAAAAAAAAAGAATCTATGGAACAATGAAGCAATGCAATCAATGATTTATGAGATGGAGTTGTTTACGCTACTATTACAATGACTTTTCTGGCCAAATCTAGGATAACGTAGACATCAATTATCAAAATCAGGCTCGTTATGAGGTAAAGCACTGTTTTTACAAAAATAGGTATTTCAAGTTTCATGTGAACATCTGCATATCCAAGAACCAGCGAAATTACGAATAGTTTGCATCTGTTATAAAACGAACGATTTACAAAGAAAATTTATTTGGTTGTATTGAAAGGTGGAACTGAAGAGATATAAAACATTATGCTTTTCGAAGAGAAGCCCAAGGAGCTAATACGCACATGAATTGAAGGTAAATTTATATGTTCTATGCACTTAACGCAATAGGAAAAAGTATCATTAATGCTCAAAAAAAGAAATGTGTATTAGAAGGACATACTTCCAGCAGAAAAATTTCGAAAGACCCGGATAGTCCTACATGCGAATTAGAAGGCGAAATGTTCACTTATAAAACGCAAATTTCGGTACTAAACGTGGTTATTGAATGCCACTATTGTTTTTTTCGTAGACACCTACAATAATTGCTAATTAATTCCCCGTTTCCGCATCGTATACGAGTTACAAAATACGGTGCCACCTTCCTCCATCCCGCCTTCCTCTATAAGCAGAACCATCCCGATCATTTTATTTCATCCAATCAAGATGCCCTACTTCATTATTAAATGCCTGTGCCTTTTTGAAGTAACAACAAGCAGCTTGAAACTTCCCGAAAGTTAATTTTTATTAGTCAGAACTAAATAAATAAATAACTAAAGGAGAGTTGGTTGTGTGCTCAATCGTCAAGTGTTACGACTTTACCGGCTATGCACTCACAATAGTTGCTCCCAAAGTAAATACCAACTCACTTAAGATTTAAAGATGCGAACACCGATCTGATAATCGCGATTCTTAGGATAGGAGATAACCACTGAGTGGTTAGTTATACAAAAAAAACGGGACCTCAATAAAAAGATATCTTTAAACGTTTCCGAATCCTTTTCCGTTTTATGTATCAAATATTCACTCTAAGAAATATATAGAACAATAAAAAATTATAGAGAATTATTTTAACTCATGTGTTAGTTAATCTTTCAAAAAATAAGTGAAAAAGCAATAAAGAACAACTAGCCAACCATACATGCAAATAATAACATTGTTTGTCCTAACTTTTAATCACTTTTGTCCGTCGAAGGAAAACTAACATAAACAAAAGGCTCTCGTTACATTCTTTCCTCATCGTCCCTAAATACTCGCACCCATATAGATATATATATATACACTGTACCTATTTCACAGTACGTTGCCTCTGTGTTTCCCTTTACGTCCACGCAGATAAAGTTCCATTCACTGCTTATTGACAATCTGGAAAACTGTAAGATGTGCTACCTTTCAATTAATATGTCATAGAAATAATAAAAAAATTAATATAAAGAAATTAAAAAAAAAAAGTAAGGAAGTTATATTCGACGGCGGCCAAATCTCGCATACCCACGGATTCTAGTCTCTAAGTTCTCTTATTTGATACCCATATCGCCAGTATAATTAAGAAAAGTCAATCGCGG